TGAACGTAACTAAGTGACATATGCCGGGAATCTCGAAGTCTTTGTAGGGATATGTACAAAGTAGCAATTGACGCCATTACCCAGCCTGATCTTTGTGTCGTGGCACATTGCTGTTGAACACCTCGGCTGAGTTCTAAAATATTTACCCAGGACCCATAACACACCACAGTCAGCCTGACCCCACCCTGCAGATGCATGGCAACCACATGTGCCGGAAAGTTGCAAGTAGGTGGCCTTGTTCATGGCTTCCTCGGCAGCTTTCTTGCTCCTCGGCTGGAGGCTGGAAATCACATCAACAACCCATCATATGCTTTCAAAGGACGAGAGAAACAAGAGAGGCGTGCGAAGTTGATTCGATGAAGCCTAGTTGCTGCTCAGTCCAACCATCCCTCTCACCTTTGGCCTTGAGGATATTCAGCATATCGTAGGTGTCCTCAATCTCACTGCACTGCTTCAGCAGGGTGGTCACAGACCTCAGTGTCGGCCGGGGGTGTTTAAACATGTTGTCAGGAAATCTGCAATGATTTAATTGTCATATTACATTGATCTTAGAAGGCGTGCAGCTTAAAGGCAGGTCGGCTTGCTCGTCTGCATAGTTTTTGCGAAGATCATTGACCAGACCACGGATTTTGTTGCCCTTGGTCAGCATACTCTCCATGAACTTTTTGAGCGTCGTCTCTGTTTGCAGGCCCTCGGATGCTCCAGAAGATCGCTGAACCGTGCAGGATACTCAGCACTCGATGGCATTTTTCATGTTCAGGCGTGCTTCTGGGGTTGTCCTAAGTGCGACAAGAATTATACCAGGATTGTGCTAGTGCAAGTGCGCAGATTCATTAGCAGGAATGTGCCTGGCTGATATCCGCAATCTCTCGCTTCGTTTTCATGGATTTCTCTCGCTGCTTCATCTGGTCCATACCCTTCATGTTGCCGTCCATGTCCAGATCCAAGGGGGCGCCATCCTGCAACACCGGAATGAAAATGAGGTCGTGCGTAACTTAGATCGACAGAGTTCTTCTACTGGTCGGTATGATTTGTCTTCGAATGTGATGCTACAGAAGTTGCACAACAACATGATCTGCAGAAGGCAATATAGCGTTAAACGGTTTATGGGAGCGGCCCAACCTCGCCTCGTCGTTCTCCACCTGGCGCTTGATGATTTCCGCGGACTCTTCGGCCTCCCGCTTGCCTGTGACCCTAGTCTTGACCCAGTATTCCTTCTCCCCGTCATAGGGATTGTACCTCGGATACAACGGCAGCACGTAGGAGGTTATACAGTGTAGCAGTAGGACAACGAATCGAGTTACTCGACACATACCTGCTGGTGCGTCATGGTACCACACTGGTACCTGTCACGATATGAACGGCATATACATACGTTTTGGAAACCGAGATCAAAGCAACCCTCTGACATACCCGCGGTGATGCACACGAGTCTTGCGATATTCGTGCGCTACCTGACTAGAATCTGACGAAAACTATCAATCTCTCGAGATATTTATAAGCCGTCGACAACTTAACTGTTTCTCCGGTGCACTGGACCAGGTTCTCTGCGTCCTGCTCGCACAGCTTGATGGCGCCGGCTCGCCGCTTCCTCGACCGAGACGGGTTAGTGCGATAGGGGTCGGGCTGCTAGTTTATAATTAAGTTATATATTATATAGTCTTTATAAGAAAACATACATATACGAATATATACTCTAAAGACACTATATATGCATACATATATATATATATATACTATATATGTATATATAGGTACCTTATATATGAATATATATATATATATACATATTATATGTTTATTGCCCTGTGTGGTCGGTTCATTCATAGAATTAAACGGGCTCAACAGATGAAACCTGCTTCGGAATTCTAACTATGTGGGGCAACTTCCGTTGAGGCGACAATAGGGCGGTCCATGCAACTTAAGTGAATCCGAAGGCTCCCAAACCACTCCCGACTCCCACCCCAATCCGTATAAAAGTTGCAAAGCCTGCGCGGATCAAGAAAGCCGAGCAACCCCAATGCAACATTTTCCATCTTACTTGGGAACCCCAAAACAAAAACCAAAGTCGGATCTATACCCCAAGCTGTTGTAACGACTCGAAGATGCACGCATGTATTCATGTATATATTTATATAGTGTACGTGCTACATGTATATATCTAGGTATGCGCGTATGTATGTATGTATGTATGTATGTACGTATGTATGTATGTATGTATGTATGTATGTACGTCTGTGTAGGTAAATGTATATCATATGTACCGGATCTGTACACCATATATATATATATATGTATACTGGTGTGTGCTTATGTATATATGATAGGTGTGCAATATTATGCATGCATTGTATATGTATGTGTTTGTGCAGGTGCTTGAGTGTATGTGTGTGTTATATGTGTGTATATAAATGTATATATATAGGTTGTGAATGTATTGCACTTGCATACATGCATTCACACACACATACATATATATATATATAAGTAGCATACACCCGCTTACACGCAGAAAATGTATATACACACATGAATGTACATGCTTGCATGAATATATATATATATATACGTTAGTTAACATGCCCGCATGTGTTGTACTCTAGCCCACGTACTACATGTGTATATGTATATACATATATATATATACATATATATATATATACGTACACATGCATATGTGTGTATACAGAGTTCCATCCAATATACGGCTTATTTGAACTTACTGCAAACAGGCTACGCACTCCAGTGCAAGATCAACTCCATATCGGTCTCCGTGAACCAACCTTCCTCGATCGTCAGCTTCCGGCTGTGAACTTGCCGGTGGATCTTCTCTACGGTCTTGATAAACTTCTCCTCCCATATGTACATTTGGGCTTGACTTATATGACCTAGGACATGAAAGCAGCACTGTACGCCAGTTTGAGCCGGTCCTTGTCCAGCCCACATTCTTCGAAAGTTTTGGCTAGGCCGTCTTTATCATTGATCCACTTCTTGTGCAGCCACTCAGGCACTTGCAATCTACCTTTGGCCTTCACTTCGCACAAGCGACGGAGGCGGGCATCGATTTTGGCCTTGTGGGCCTTCATGGCTTTCTTGTCCTTCAGCAGGCATGAATTTCAAATTCTTTCATGGATATTTCGAGTCTATAGCTGTTTGTGGCCATTCGGATCACAGTGTACACATATGGGGCTGTCGTCCTGCTCTATCTCTGCCATAAGCTGGTTCGCCTCCTGGAGGTCCTGCTGCGCCCCGGACGATTCTTCGTTGGCCTCGAGGAGCTCCTCTCAGAGACATGCCAGAGTGGGGCTGAATTAACCTTAAGATCATTATTCATTATAGGCATTGAATCTGTCACAGGCAGTGTTTCACATAGCAACAGGACTTCGGGCCTTGCTAGCACGCATGCACTCCTTGGAAGAACTGGGTACTTGGGGTATTTGGGGTATGTATTTTTTTGGGTTTTGGGGTTTCGTTTGGGGTTGGGGGTTAGTTTTGGGTAAATGGGCTTGGGGGTAGTTTGGGGTCAATGGGGTTTTGAGTCATATACACCTACATAAACCGCTTGGGGCTTTCAGGATTTATATAATTGGGCTCACGGTCCTTCGAGACTTTGGGCGGGGAAGAAGTTGCAGAGGTAGTCTCCGAGGGCTCAGATGTGCTGCTGGTTGGTGGGGTTCCATTGGTCAAGCGGAGGAGCTTCCCTGGCTCGCCAATGTCCTGCTGTGGCTTAACCTGAGTAGATTGCGCTCCATGCAACACATGATGTGTGCAGCCAGAACACTGCACACGAGGGGCAAACACTTTAGAAAGTTGGTTACCGTAACGTGTGCAAGGAAGTGGCTGCAAGGGTGGAGCAAGAAGGGCTAGCGTCGGCCAACGTGTCCTTAGGAGTACACTCAAACGTGCGCCAGGTCTTCCGACTGATCGAAGACAGAGATGCACAAGTGTGTTAGCGTCTCGCATATGGCACGTGTAAACTACATGAAGACTAGGCTCAACCAGGGTTGCCAAAGTATCCGGATCGTCCAGCACCATCTTCTCGAGTTCCTATATGGATCGTAGCATCACTTTGGAAGTTTGACTACTTCGTGGGATTCCTCGTCTTCGAAAGCACACCTTTAGATTTACAATCTGATGAAGCAACCAATGTCCCGCCTCAAGGTGGTCCAGCAAGGAGTTGTCGAGCTCCTCGCTCAGGCCCGCGTTGGCAGCTGCATCCTTCAAGATAAGCTCCAACCCCTCTTGCATGCTGTCGCAGCTCCACTGACGCGACAGCAGGCTGCTAGAGGACATGAGGTCGAGAAGCACAAGCAAAATGCCTGTAGGCTAAACACACTTAAGCAAAATCACCTGCAGCGCATAGGGTAGTTTGGACCAAGCCAAGACGTCGATCATGTCAACAAATGCAGGATGATGCACTGGAGTTCGGTATTTGCACAGAAGATGCACTGGCACAGACAAAAGTATTGTCGGTTTTGCGAACGAGATTTCATTTGTGGCATGAGCCTCGGTCGAATTGTTGTTCCGAATTGATGCAAATGCACCTATGGTGCATCTTCTTCGGGGACACATTGGCGTGTAGCGCGCATACCGCACTGCCCAGCGCCCTAGAAAGATCCCGAACCCAGATTAAATTTATTGCAAGGCTTGAGACCCGCAGCCCTGTACGAATATGCGCATTGGTATTTGCTAACTATGGTTTATCCTAAGTTAGATTTGATCTAGTTTAGATAGTAAAAACCCATAAATATTTATGGGTTTTTTACGGGCTTTTATGGGAAGTTTACGGTTTTTTTATGGGTCAGTTTTTGTGGGCTTTTTTTACGGGGTCGATTACGCTATTTTACGGGTTGTTTACGGGACTTTACGGGTTGTCGGTTTTGACCCGCTTTTGGTCGTATAAGGTATACTTGGATCGTGTTAATGTATGGCACGAAATCATAAAAGCGAAGCTTCGTTCAACAACCTCCCATCAAAACAGAAAAGACCCACCTAGCAGGTCAAGCCAGCCCTTCTGGGAGGGAATCTGGGAAAAGACCACGGTGCTGTGACTCCAAACTCAGGCTTCGACTTCCCCGTAAGTACACCAAAACTTCCCACATGTCTGCTTCTACCCAGACATCCGTCCAGGCCACACTGCTGCAAGTCTCCACGATGCTGGGAAGAGGCGTGGGGAGGGCCGGGCAACCAGCTCGTTCCTCCAGCAGGTCCTTGAGCAACTCCACCATGCGACGCCCAAATTGTTCCGGGTATTGCCTTGGCTTATCTAGGAATGCGGGTCTCGTCATTGTAAATGTATCTACGGTTTAGGGTTTATAGGGTTTTGGGGTTTAGGGGCACGTCGAGGTGCATCAAGGACGATACATGTTGCAACCTAGTTCCCTATTGCCAGAAAACATCGGCATGGCTACATAGAGAATTCAGGCGGCCATAGCCGCTGACTAGCTTGATACCGAACATGGGTGCATGAGCTTATAATGTACTCATACATAGGGAGCTCTGTGCATGAACATCCGTAGATATGATTCGATCTAGAAGACTCTGAGAAAAACCGAGAGGCTCCGTGGCTTTCAAGTGCCGGGTCCCCGTCCAACAAGCCTTCCCTTTAACATCGGTGTAGCGCTTTGTTGTTTTAGATCGAGCCTTCCTAGAGCTTCCACGAATACCTGGCTGGAGCTTCCCGTTCCATATGCCCAAAGCAGCGGGGCTGTTGCTGTAGAGGTAGTGCGGTTTTGGGGTCGAGCATCCATAGTTGCCCATCCACCATCGGACACGGTTCACCTGGGCCATTGATGTAAATGGGCTTGAGGGCACTAGCCAAGCACAGAGGAAACAGAGATGCATACAATCTAAGAGCCGGTCAGATATATCTCCACCCCATTGTTGCACACGCTGCAGGACGTGTCGAAAGAGCGGAAAGTATTCGAGGAGGCTTCCGGCTGGCTGTTCAAGGGTATAGGTTGCACCGAGTGCAACCACCAAAAGTATCAGTAGGCAAACCCTTAGATTTGTTGGATCACACTCACATTCTCCACTGCTGCACATTTCTGCGTCTGACATCAACTATAGCACATCATAAAGCCGAAGAGCCGGGCACACATCTTGTTTGCAGAGCGAACCGAGGGGTGTGAAGTGTTGCCGTAGGAACTGCAAGTCGATCTTCCGCTTGTACCAACATTCATCGATGTCCAACTGCTACAGCATATTCCGAAGTGCACTAAGCATCCGGAAGACGAGCCTCGCATGATCACAGCTATTGCCAGCCTTGGGTGCCAGGCGAACACAGGAGGGGCGATGAACATGTTTCAGGACAGGGGCCCGCGGTTCAGTCTGGGGGCTAGGGGTCCGTAGGCCTTTAGGGTCCATAGGGGTAGTAGGGCCAGGGCAGGGCAGGGGTAGCATTCCTTGGTTTGGGGTTGTTGTTGTTGTTGCTGTTGTGGCTGTGGCTGTGACTGTGGCTGTGGCTGTTGTTGCTGTCGCTGTCGGTAGTGGTGTTGGCGGTGGTGGTGGAGGTTGGGGGCGGTGGTGGTGGTGGTGGCGGTGGTGGCGGTGGTGGTAAAGGTTGTAAATACTCTTATTCATTTGATAGGATATATATATATATATATCTTACGGATTTCAGTAGATTCTGAGTATTGCGATTGATACTAACTCAAAGGCCCATAAGATTTTTAACATCCCCAGCTAGTTATATACTTCCGTGGGTCGTCATCTCCCGTAAACTGTTTATGTTTTTGTTACGACCGCGATGCCTCTCCCTCTATCTCTCGCTTCTTTCTGTCTTCCTCGTATTTGTACGTGTACTAATATATATATATATA